GTGTCTATGGTTAATTAGAAGTGGGGTTTGTGGCCATTCAGATTCACCCACATTTATCCTTATCCAAGCTGGTATCCCACATTTTAATGATCTGATTAGGCTGGTGACCACTAATGCCAACTCTTAGAAACAGAGAACAGTGTTAGCCAGCTAGTTTTCAGAATGTTTCTCCCAGCTTGCTTTGAGAACTGTGCAACTAAGCGTAGGTAACTGACATTCTTAGCCGCTCAGATCAGCAGTGAGTCAACATGCAGTTTCCGCTGAACAGCAGAGGCCAATGCATGTGGTAATGACACATAAATAGAGTGAAGGACAACCACTCACACTGAATAGCAAACTTACCTGCTACACTTTTAGGTCCCCTGCCATTAAATCTCATTTGGTGGCCCCTGCGCTCCACCTGCAAAGTTGTAGGAATGGAGAACTGTGCTCTGTGGATGCCCAAGCAGAGTAGATTATTCACCCCTTTATAATTACTCTCCTGCACCTCTCTCATCACCTTTATTTAATTGCTTCATACTATCAGTAATTTTTTTCAATTCTAAAGTGCACTGAGGAACAGGACCTCTCCTTGGTGCCTAATCCGGTGCATGATGCAATTCCAGATATTCTTCTCTCCAAATACTTCAACTCAAACAACATAGCACAATAGATTGAATGCTGAAGCAGCTATGAGTCCAGCTGAGCTCTACAAAGAGAACAGCAAAATTCTAAAATAATGCTATTGTTCTTATTTTTACTTTGGAAAACAATTACTTTTCATAAAATTATCTTAACATGTAATGTAAGTAAATAAGTATTTTTAGTTTCGTTTTAGACACGCCCCCCACACACAAATGCACTTAAGAGTTGTGTAAAGGGGTCCTAAGATGAAAAAGTTCGAAAAATGCTGCATTAAGGAACTCTCTAAAACTGGATAGAAACACAACAGACATTTTATCGCAGGAGATTTAAGTTAAGTCTGCTGAAGTCCTGTCAAATTCCAGGTACTCATAATGGGAATACATGGAAGGAGCAAGGGTGTAAAAATAGCAACTTCCAGGAGCTAACCATTCTTTCTAACCTTGGAGAGTCTGTTACTTTCAATAAGCTTGACTCTACTCATCTCACCCATATCTGTACTCTCCTGTTAGCAAGATGTCGGATTCATCTCTCTACCCACAGTAACTCCCATATTAAAAGCTCTCAGTCAGACCAACGTGGCTCAGTGGTTGAGTGTTGACCTATGTACTAGGAGGTCACAGTTCAATTCTGGTCAGGGCACATGCCTGGGTTGTGGGCTTGATCCCCAGTGTGGGGCGAGCAGGAGGCAGCCGATCAATGATTCTCTCATCATTGACGTTTCTCTCTGAAATCAATAAAATTAAAACAAACAAAAACTCTCAGTGTGGTTGAATGTTGGCAGCTGCTCAGTTTGAGTCTCCTAGCTGAGCAGAAATAGCCTGGCATAGCTCAGGAGGGCCAAAGATTGGGTGGGGCTCCAATGTGGGCTTACCGGCAAGTTGAGGGACCTTAGGCACATTGGTCATTTCTATTTCCACAGCTATACTTGCAGTGGCACTCTCAGGATGATTTTGAGTGATGAATTCATAGGTGAATTCACTGACTACATAGGCAAAAACCTAGTCACACAGTGTTATCCCTAAAATAGAAATTACAATTTCTCAAAAAATTAAAAAGCTATCTTTTTCCACTGTGTGAACCAGTGCCCCTTACCCCTTCTCTCCTTCCTTTGCTGGAGCATGCCCAAGTGGATGGAGGAAAGCCTTTGGCCCTGGCATTCCTTCCTGTAGACACAGCCCTCTTTGTAGACCATGCTGGATAAACTGCAATGTTACAGAGTATCATCACCATTCAATCTTTACTGTCATCTGGATTCTGTTAAAGGTATTTATTTCATAATTGTAAGCTCAATTTTGGTTTAGCAAAAGCAAGGCAGAACACCCCTACACCAGGCATACAGTTCAAGTGGTGGACACATTCTGACAGCTGCCATCAGCAACAGCAAGCTAACTATGGCTGCTGACCACTTCAGAAGGACTAGCCAATCCTCCTATATAATAAAAGGTTAATATGCAACTTGGCTGGTCGCTATGATGTGCACTGACCACCAGGGGGCAGACGCTCAGCGCAGGAGCTGTCCCCTGGTGGTCAGTGTGCTCCCACAGAGGGAGCACAGCTCCGGGCTCACAGTGGGCAAGCGCAAGGTAAGTGCAGCGGTGGCGGTGGCGGCGGCAGCGCTAAGGATGTCTGACTGACAGCTTAGGCCCGTTCACCGTGGGGAGCAGGCCTAAGCCATCAGTTGGACATTCCCTGAGGGTCCCAGACTGCAAGAGGGCACAGGTCAGGCTGAGGAACACGCCCTCCCCCATCCCCCACCCCCGCCGACTGCACAATCTCATGCACTGGGCCTCTAGTCCTATCTAATAAACCTAATATGCAAATAGACCGAACAATGGAACAACCTAACAACTGAACAACTGGACGCTATGACATGCTCTGACAACCAAGGGGCGTGCATAGAACATGGTGGGCATCGGCAGCAGGTGGCAGC